GGTCAGCAAGGGCGGCTGCGGCGAACGCCACTGCGCTTCGGGACAGTGCAGGGCCCCGGGGCTTGTGCCCAGCCTAAGCTCAGAGCAGAGGCATAAGAAATAAAGTCGAGCTCAAGAAAAGCTGGTTCTTAGAGGAGGAAGGGCTAGAACCAGGTGGAGAGGGCCCTCGCTGAAGACCAAACCGCCGCCCCGCACATCTGCCGACCACCTGGATTACCCCTCCCGCGAGCTGGAGGGGAGCTGGAGGGGAGCTGGTGGGCTGGCGGAAGGTTTGGGGGCGTGGAGCTGTGCGGACAGAGCTGGATGGAAGGAAGCAGAGGCCTCGGAGGCGCAGGTGCCGGGGTGGGACCGGCGAAGGGGCAGGGTTTCCGCCGGCCTGGCCCCACCTGCCTGCGCCCACCCCGCTGATGAGGAAACACAGTCACGTGGCATTTATTTTTATTAGAAAAGCCCGTTTGGTCAGCGTCCCTAACCCATGACAGACTGGGCAGCCTCGGAGAGTCCCACGCCTTTCACTTCCATCTTCTGGCCTCCTCTGGGAGGGGAGGGCGGATGGGGGTGGTGTCAGGCAGGCCCCGAACGCCGCTCCTGCATCCTGGACGAGGTCACACTGCCGGCCATGCCCCACAGCGCCCCAGTGGCGCACGGGAGGGCCCTCCAGGGCCGAGGCTGCTGCCGAAGGCGGTCCTGTTTGGATGGCTTCAGGAGGGGACCCGGAGGACCTCACGGACCCCCAGGCCCTGGCCTCTGGCTGAGAGAGGGCAGGGTCCAGGGGATGGTGGCCCAGGTTGGGGGGGTGCATCTGAGTCGCCCTCTGGAGTCTGGGGAGCACCTGGGTTCCCTGGAGAGGGGGCCACGGTGCCCACTCAGTTCTTCCTGGCCTTGGGAGTGTCGTACTTCCTCTTGCTGGAGTACCACAGCAGGAGAGGGATCCCGATGGACGGGAGGGTCATGACCCCGAAGGCTGCCCAGTCCAGCTGCAGAGACAAGGAGGCCTCGCTCAGAAGTCTGGGGTAGGGGCCAGGAGGAGGGGGGGTCTGATGAGAAGGCACACCCCCACCCCAGCTGAAAGCAGACCTCTGACCACCCCAGGGAAGACGCCTCTGAAGACCCATCTGCCCCGGAGGCTGTGAAGCCGGAGGGCGCCTCCCTGAGGCAGCCCAGACCAAAGGGCAGCTGCCCTGCCAGAGCGCCTGAGGGGACGCCAGGTCCTGCCCTGAGGGCCGAGCCGCCCAGGACCTGGCCCCACTCCTTGGCCTCCAGTCTGCCCTCCAGCCTCGCTGGACCGCCTGCCATTCCTGGACGGCACCCCTCTTTTCTCCCTTCCTAGGAGGCCTGTCCTCCCCGACTTCCTCTCTGGCTGGTTAAATGTCACCTCCAGCGACCCCTCCCTGACTGAGACCAGGCCAGACGCGGCTGCCACACGCTTGTGCGCGACCTCACCCACAGCACCATCTCCCCACCGGCCTGTTCTCAGATCCTTAACGGACGGGACACTGTCCTGGTCGCCACGGTCCCCAGAGCAGAGCAGAGACCTGAGCACGTAACTAGGAGCTCCATCATCGCTCCCCAAACAAAGGGGTCCGTGCATTTCCTCAGTCAGTACTTTGGGTGAATCTTTAAAAGGTTCCCTCCCAGACCAGAGACCAGCGAAGTCCGCACTTGACCCTCCCGGCGCTGACAGCTCTGGATCCGAGCTGTTCTTTTAACTCTCACAGCAGGCCCGGGAAGCCAAGACAGGCCGTCCTCAAGGCTGGGCAGAGAAGAAGGGCAGATTCCCCGTTCTGGTGACTGTGACCTCATCCCCAAAGCCTCTAATCATGGTTAAAGCGGGGTATCCGATGGCTGTGCTGGACACCAAGACACACGGGAAGAACCAGCCAATGACAAAGCTCTTCCTGGAGGCAGGAGGCCCCACGACCAAAAGAGTTTCTTATCCTGGGGCGCAGCTTACGAAATGGGGTGAGAATCTCCTATCGAACTCCCGCTGAGCCAGGATCCCTCCCTGTCCAGGTGCGCTGGTAAAGCCGATCTGGAAGAAAGAAGAGAAGGTGTCAGGGCCAGTCCCACGCGTCCCCCCTGAGTGTCCCCCGCCCCCAGGAGGGCGGCCCAGCCGGCCTAGTTCCCAGAGCTCCAGGCGAGAAAAGGCCTGTGCACTTGGCAGAGACACAGGATTCTCAGCGAGGGCAGGGAGGAGACGGAGCCAGGACACATGCGAGACACTCGATGAGCGTTTGCCAAGCCAGGTGGGCTGGGGACGCAGCTGAAATTCAAACCAAATCCTGTCTCAGCCTCGGACTCTGGGAAGGCTCGCTCACCACCACGGGCCCCTCGGCAAGGCCAAGGGTGTGGCAGATGACCGGGCCCTGGCAATCGTGTTCTTATTCCTCGAGTGGGAAGACTCTTCTCAAACGAGAGAAGGATGCTGAAGAGCATCGAGCCCGCCCAGACGTACGCAGCCAGGAGCGGGGCTGGTCCGGCTGGCACCCTGCACTGCAAATGGCTGTTCTCTCAAGCGGATGCTCAGGCGGCGTTTCAGGTCCTGCTCCCCAGCCTATGCCATCAGTGCGGCTCAAGTAAACTCTTACACTAACTCAAAGAATAGAAAATTAAAAAAAAAATTAAGTGGCGGCTGAGCTTTGATTTGGTCTTTTAACCCATCAGTGACCAGGTAGAACCAGAGCTCTGAGCCGGTTTCGAAAGCAGCAATGACGCAAGATGTGAAGATGTAACTATGATTAAAAAATATGGGTCCGCGTGGTTTGTAAAAGAAGAAAATGCAGAGGGTGCACTGAGTGACAGGGAATCTGAAATTTCCTTTCGTGCCATGGTCGCCTCTGGTCCTGACTATACTTGCCAAGGAGCCTACAGCCCCTCTGTAGGGTCCTGTCAGAGGCCTCTATAACGTCACGACCTAGGCCTTTTGAGGGCTGGGACGGCGCCTTAACCTTCTTAGCCCTCCCTAGGGTCTAGCACATCACGGGGGCTCAAGAAACGCCTGTTACCCTCTCCATCGATCGAGCAACAGATCGTTTATTACCGTGTTGCTGTTGCATGTGGGAAACGGAAACCTACGATAAAGCCCCCGGCTTCGAGGGGAGGTGAGGGGGGCGGCAAAGACCCTCACATAAGAGACAACGAGCTACTGACGATGGTGAGTAATTAAATGTCCAAGCGGCAAACACCGTGAGAGCTGTGGAAGTTCAGGTGCATCGATGGATGTTCACGGACAGAACGAGGACAGGGTGACGGGAACGCGGAGAGCAGAAGGCAGGAGCGAGGAGCTACAGCTTGAAGCCGGGTCTGAGGCGGCTTCGGGCAGAGCGGAGGGCACAGAGCTTCAAACAGAGGACACGGGCAAGGCGCAAAGCCCAGCGCCGGCGCGGGAGGGACGCAGGAGGAGCCTGGCCCGAGGCGCACGGGGCCTCTGCGGGGGGAGTGGCAGAGGTGGGCCACTGGGGGGTCCGCGGTGAGCGGCAGAAACGCCCAGCCCGGGAGCCATGAGCGGGAGCGCTCTAAGCACGGGACCGACTCGGAAACCGTGGAGACGGGCAGAGCCCGACGCAGCACAGGAGGAGAGTGGGAAGGGCAGGGGTGACGGGGAACTGGGCTGTAAGGGACACGTTCCAGGTCCAGAGCGAAGCGCCAGGGCTGAAGAGGAAACGGGTGCTGCAGTGCGCCCCTCCCGTTCACGTCGACCGCGACGTTCTGGGACTTCACGATTTCAAGCAAACGTCCTTCCTAAGGACCGTGTCCCAAGCTTCTGGCCCTTCTGTCCGGCCCCAGAACTCAGGGGCAGCTTTGGTGATTCTCAGCAGCGTCTGCAGAGGCAGGCAGCTCTGACCCCGCCCAGCTAAGCGTCTGGGCCACTCACCACGACGGGGCCACCCTCCCGGGCCAGGTAAGTGACAGCCGCTGAGGTGAAGTTGAAGTGGCCAGCCTTGAGGGGGCGCAGGACCACCGTGTGGGAGACGTTGCCGGCCCTGCCCCAGTTAAGGAGAGAAAGACCGAGCTGACGCTGAGACCGCCTCCCGCCCTGCGGACTGAACGCGCCAGTCACAAAAAGCTGCCACCACGCACGGTGACGTCAGGCTTGCCGTGCTCGGCAAGAGTCACACGCACAGACCTTCTGTAAGCCTAGAGTGTGTGACATGTCATGGTGTCTTTCGAGCCAAGTCTTAAGGGTTCTGTGACATACTCAGTATCAAGGTTTTCGAAGCAAACTTTCAAAGCAATACGTTATGGGTGAAAAATGAGTCGTTTAAACTCAGAAAACCTTTCATGGGCTATAACTAAAGGAAGTTCTTGAAAATATAAAATAAACACAAAAAGTAAGAAACATGAGAACAGCTAACCCTCACCAGAAAACCTAAATATACGTTCGTTCACAAGAGAAAAACAAAAAACAAACAAACAAAAAACCCTAATTCCCAACACTCTGGAAACAACAGACAGGTCGGAATGAGACGGGTCCTCAGACCGCGCCCCGGGTCCTCCACGCCAGCATCCAGCTCAGGTTCCTCTAAAAGCACCTTCCGCATCTCTGCCCGGCCATGAATATCTGAGCGTCTACACCTTCCCAGGGGGTAGGTTTTTGGGCCTTATAACCTGAACTTCTGGAACCTCCCTCCATCCTCGGGTCTACCCTGAATCACACTCACACAGCTGTCTCAGTCCCCCTTGCCCCGTCTCATCCAGACAGGGGACGGGAGCATGGCCACGCACACCTGGACTGTCTGCACTGACCCCGCTGCTCTGCTGCCAACATTCCCGCCCCCTGCCAGCCTTCATCGCCCAACGTCAAGAGGATACGGGGCGATCCGGTCCCATTTGACGTTCAGCATTCCGGAGACGATGCCGAAGTCCTCTGGGGGGAAGGAGTCATCGGACAGCTCCACGTCCAACGCAGCACTGGAAAGCGGAGGCGACAAAAAGGGGCAAAGCCTTGGCTCTGGCATGGAGGCGATCGGCACCCCCCTCCGCCCGCCTGTCCTAACTCAGAACCACAGGAGGCAGATGTAGGTCACACGGTCGAGCGGGTCCGCTGCACTGACGAACCGGGTCTTTGGCTCAGAAGCACCAAAATACTCAGGTATCTAGGCAGGAATGGGCCCAAACCCAGCCTTGCCCCAGTTTCTCCACACGTGGGTGTGTGTGCGTGTGCGCACATGCGTATGCATGTGTGTACGTGTGCATGTGTGTGTGCACGTGAGTGCGTGCATGCATGTGTGTGCGTGCGCGAGTGCGTGAGTGCGTGCGTGTGTGTAAGGCGGGCAAGAGGAGCAAGATGCATATGGAAGAGGAAATTAAAAGGACGAAATGAAAAGAAGGTGACAAAAATGCGCGAGGGCCAAAGAAACAAAGGACGCTGAAGCCTTGAACTGGACGTGACAAAGGGTCACAGGTGGCCCGCCTGCTCGCCTCCCTCTCCGGCTCCCCACAGTCCCTGCTTCCTCCCGTCTCCGAAACTCCTCTGCCAGCTCAAACCCATGGAAGGAGGTCCCTGCCGCTTAGGTAAGGGTGTCCTCCTCTTCCAAAATCAGGACCAGCAGCACAAGCGTCCACTCGTGACACCTGTTGCTGGATGTCCCCCAGAAGATAAATCACCACCGATCGGTGTCCCCAGTGGGGAGCCCTAAGAAGCTGAGCGGGCCCCGCCGGCCTACCTGGAGCCCACGTTGTAGATGTTATACTGCAAGGTCAGGTCGCGGCCCTCCACCGCGTATCTGTTCAGCAGCGATTTGGAGGCCAAGAGCCTGGCCCCTTCCTCTGCCTGAGTGACAGCGAGTAGCGCCAACACGGCCAACGCCAGCAGCTTCATCTGTGCAGAGGAGAGCAGAGTGGGCAGTCGACCCGAGCACGCAAAGTCACCAGAACCTTCCTGACAGCCCACCCCGGCGGTCCAGCGAAGCTCTTGACCTTATCTGAGCAGCGACCCCCCGCGCGGCGCCATCTGGAAGCCACCGGGGACCCCGTCGCGAGACCGCCCCCCCGCCCCCACCACTCTCCGCCCTGCAAGCCCTCGGAGAACGGGTCTCAGCACCCGCATATCCGCTGCCTTCCTTCTGCCTGGGGCGCGGGGCGCTCCCCCACTGGTGGGGTCTTCCGAGACGACACCACGTGGCCGGAACGGGGCTCTCCTGGAGGTGCCCGATTGCGGCCGCGGTCGGACCTGCAGCAGCGCCCCGCGTTCCT